TATCCTTTTTATGATATTTTTTACTGACTTCATAAACAATTGTTTTATTAACTTAATTCAATATAATAATAAATAGTCCTTAATTCATATATTTATTACGTATTTTAGAAAAAGAAGTATGTGAAAAACTCAAACGAGAATTGTACATTAATGGAGGTGATGGTGATGTTGTGGACAAACTTTTTAATGAAAATAGCACTTGAGAACAAATACTTACTGTGATATCCAATTTTTATCCATTGACCCTATTAGTATTAGTAACACATTTTACTTTTTATCACATTGTATCAGTTGTGTTTAAAAAATATAAATGCCTAATACCTATTTCAGCAACAATATGTTGCCAATTTCCATAATCAGACAATCAATACAAGATTCAGACTAAACAATAATTCACATGTAGGTTTTTTTAGAATCCTTGTAACATTAATTGTTAATTATGTCCGTCATTACCTGATGCTGTGCCTGTAACTGTTCCCAGACAATTCTTACATTGTTGCCGATATTATGTATTTGTTTAAATAGAAGTATGTTATTTTATTGAGTATTTTATGATTTCATTATATTATCAAATACATATTTTGTTTTACAGTTTGTAACATTGAATATTAAAATAAAAGTGCAGATACTAAAATGACAATAAGGTCTTATTAGATCGTGGTAAATGTCCATGTGGTACACCCCCCTCCCATACAGGAGCGGACCAAAGAGGGGGAGAGGTCAGCTGACCCACAGTTTTTTTCCCAGTTAAATTTGGCCCCTCGAAATGACAAACTACTTAATCATTTTTTTATTTAAAAAAATTATGAACTGATCAATAATAAAATAATATTAAATTATAATGATTTATATTACACACGCTCAAAAATGTTTTCATACAACTATAATTATAAATGTATAAGTATATTAATATGATGTATATACAGACGTGAAGACTGAGTATTGAAGTAAAATAGTTCGTACGAAATAGTGCTTAAGGGGGACGTGATTAATTTTCGGTTGAAAACATAGCTCACGACTTCAATCACTACGCCCAATATAACGTTCTGATATTAATTTTGAAAGCAGATTTTAATTCGTCATTAAATTATCTATGCTTTGACAATTTCATTTTTCTGAATTTTATTTTTTTTTACTTAGAAATTTACTAACAAAAAGAGTAAAAATAGATTATATTCATAAATCAAATTTAAATAGAATATGAAGAAAACAATAGAAAAAGATATAAAAAAAAGTTTCTATATACGTAGAATAAAATATAATATAAATTCGATTGATAAGTAATTTGAACCATTTACTAAAAGTGTAAGACGAACGATTTCCCGAACATTTGGCCCATATATTATAATTTATAATATATAGTCACGTCTATTACTTTCCGGCAGCTGCGCACATGTCTGAGAGCGACCTTCTGTGAATATATACGGAAAATAATATATTTTCAAGTAGGTAGGTACCTACTTAATACCGAAAATAATACCTAATACCTAATATAATCATATTATATTAGCAATTTTTATAAAAAAAACTATACTTACTATACAAATATGTTATTATTAGTAATAATCAATGAGTATATACAAGTACTACACTCAATGAATGAATGATTTAATGATTATACTTATACACAAATACAATTATTATTGACACATCACTCAGACGCTTTATTCATAGTATATTATGTTATATACCTTTGTGGCTACGCAAATGTATTACACTTTCAATTCGGTAAAGGTCGTACCACATTATTGTACGGTTATGCCTATAATTATATTATTGTATAACTGTCAAAACACATATAACTGATATAACGTCGAAAAATGATAACCAAGTACAGTGATAGATATACCTGTTACAATATATGTTCAGATTAGGATATTACAACTCAAGACAATAACTATATTGTCGTTAAGGCTGTAAAAATTGATTTACACACTTGACAATACGAAAAAATACAACAATAGTTTTTTGTGTTCACAATGTTTTGTTATTTATGGAACAAAAACAATATCTGAAAGAAATTATGATTAGTTAGTGTTCTCTGACGGTCCTACAGCTCGCTTCATCGCTGAGACATGTAGCTTAGTAGGGTGTTTACCCTCATTCAAGAACACTCCGGTTCCTAGTGGTTTACCCAACTTAACTGGACCTAACCATTTCGGGGCGAACCCCGCTTGAAAACGCTTCTCCACACTTGACTGCGGATGCGCTTTGTAGTATACCCAATCCTTTACTGACAGATTGCTTCTTCCCGGGGATTCTGGGGGTATATGGGTACTGGGGGCTTTGGGACCGGAAACCGCCGGGTAACCCCCCTCTACCACAGGAGCATCATCCAGTTCCACCGGAGAATCTTAGATTTCTACCGGAGGGTTCCGCACTGCTCCGGATCATTTTTGCCCGCGTCCGGAGATTCTTCGGCCAGCTCGAGCTGCCAATCTCCGGGGGCCTTGATCTCCCGGCCAAACATCATTTTGGCCGGTGACTGTCCGGTGTTTCGGTTTTCTCTGTTTCTTACGGAGAACAACACATGTCGCAGGTAGACATCCTACAGATGATGAGGCTTATAAACAAGTAAGGTTTGAAACCCTTTCTTCAACTCTTGATTTCGCCTTTCTACCGGGTTGGCACGTGGGTGGTATATTGTCCTTCCACTCCCCACCTCTTAGGTTAGGCCTCCCATTGCCTTGGACAAGAACTGCGGGCCATTATCTGACAATAATGCCCTCGGGTATCCAAACCGTGGGATCAACTCCCGTTCGAATGGGTGTCGCCGGTTTCCGCCAAAAATGACCTTTCCGTTTTCCGCCAATACCTTTTTCCGCCAAATCAGAAAAAACGTCATTCCTTTTTCCGCCAATTATAAATTATTGAATTTTAAAGTTTAGGAACCCCTACGTAAAGATTTAATAATTTCACACTATAGAGTTAAAAAATAATAATATTTTTTCCAGTTATTACTTATTATATATTAGTAATGATATTAGTGTACCGACAAAATAAGTCAAAAAATATAATTTTATCATAACACTTATTAGGTAGTTATAATAGATATGTTACAGTTAAAACCCGAAATCCGTCGAAACTAGTTTTAACTAGTCAAAGCTAGTTTCCACAAATCCCTTTAGTCATTTCTGGTTTTAACTAGTTAAAACTAGAATTTACTAAGACCATCACCATCAAAACTAGTTGTATATAAAATATATTGGTGAAAACTAGAATTATCTAGTTAAAATCCTTAATTTTTATATCGATAGGTTAAACTAGTTTTAACTAGGGAAAAGTAGAAATATAAGTACACATTAGAATAATTATTATAGGAATTTATTATATTATTTATTTTGACAGGACAAACTATTGTGGCATTTAGAATTGCATAGTATTTTATTTTTTCTACATAAACAACGATTTGTTCCGCAGGGCGTTTTACATGTGCATCTTACAAAGCCTTGCCCCGACCCCGTCGATGCTTTTGTTGCGGCTGCCAAGCTTTAAATGTTTTAAATATTGAAACAAAACAAAAAGAAAATTTCCTGCTATTAAATAATGAAAAAGAAAATATTATTATTTTTTCGTGTTCCACAAATTTAAAATTTTTGACTTCGGTAGATACTGTTTATATGGATGGGACATTTGATTATTGTACTCGCTTTTTTATGCAAATGTTTACTATCCATGGATTTCAAAACGGCCACTATGTTCCACTCATATTTTGCTTATTACCAAATAAACTAACATCTACCTATATTTTTGCACTTCGTTCTATTTGTGAAAAATGCAAAGATATGAATTTGATTTTTTCACCTGCAAATGTGACTATTGATTACGAAAAAGCTATTATAAATGCAGTTACTGAAGTTTGGCCAGAAAGTAATATAATTGGTTGTAGATTTCATTTGACTAATTCTTGGTGGAAGAAAATACAATCTCTTGGTTTATCAATGGAATATAAAGAAAAAAATTCCGAAATTGGCAAATGGTTACGACACACATTTGGTCTTTTGTTTCTTGATGCGCAGGAAGTATCAGATTGTTTTTCATATGATTTTATGAGTGATCGTCCTGTTAATGAACTATTAACAAAATACTCTGACTACTTAGTTGATAATTACATAGGCGACGATTGTTCTTACCCTCCATCACTGTGGTCTTCGTTATCGGCAAGTTTAACTAGGACGACGAACGCGTGTGAGTCATTTCACGCTGCATTTAAAGATCATTTTTATAAACGAACACCACATATAATACCATGGATTACTGTACTTATAGAAAATATTCAAACTAATGTTTATATTACTTTAAAGAGTATTAATGAATGTAAAACACCAAGAAAAAATATGAATGATAAACGTAAACGAAATGAAGAATTAATTTCAAAATACCAACGAGATGAAATCAGTAGATATGAATTCGTAAAACTGATATCAAATCATTATGCTAAATAAGGTTCGAATAAAATATTTAAAATATTATATACTTATATTATATATATTTAATTTTATTTCAACTATGTTTCAGTTTTTTACAATGTGATTTCAATTTCAAGTTTCGGCCAATTAATCAAGCGCTGACATATTGACATATTGTCATCAAGACAATGCAAATATAAATATAATTTTTTTAATACTTATATCTATTATACATTTATACCTACCTAATAAGTGTTATGATAAAATTATATTTTTTGAATATTATTAGTTTTTAACTCTATAGTGTGAAATTATTAAATCTTTACGTAGGGGTTCCTAAACTTTAAAATTCAATAATTTATAATTGGCGGAAAAAGGAATGACGTTTTTTCTGATTTGGCGGAAAAAGGTATTGGCGGAAAACGGAAAGGTCATTTTTGGCGGAAACCGGCGACACCCGTTCGAATGTATCCACAATCGATTTGGTCGTCGCCTTTCCTAAGGGGTTTGCCTCTCTCCAGCGACTGTAACAATCAGTTATACTACCAAAATTGTTGTCTTAAGGTAGCCACACACGGTCCGGTCAGCCTGTCAGTTATGCCTGCACAGGCTGCCGGAGACTGGTCGGCCGTTGCGTTTGTGGGTTCCGGTCGCCTGAACAGTTATATCTGTACAGGCCGCCGGAGAAAATATGAAAACTCGTTCGTCCATCCGGCCGACTGCGGGACTGCGCAGGCGTTCGAAACGTGTATGGGTTCCGGCCGTCCGGCCAAATACAATATAAAACTTGCCGCGGTCGGACAGATTCGCCGGAACGTATGGGGGCGCTGACGTCAGTCCGGCCGACCGGTCTCCGGCGGCCTGTGCAGGCATAACTGACAGGCTGACCGGACCGTGTGTGGCTACCTTAAGACAACGATTTTGGTAGTATAACTGATTGTTACAGTCGCTGGAGAGAGGCAAACCCCTTAGGAAAGGCGACGACCAAATCGATTGTGGATACATTCGAACGGGAGTTGATCCCACGGTTTGGATACCCGAGGGCATTATTGTCAGTTTATCCTGCGTTCGTGGGTATGGACCCATAAGGTCGATGCTCAGCACCTCCCAAGGTTTCCGTGGGACTCGGGTGCATATCCGATAATTTGGTTTGTGATTCAGTGGTTTTACAAGTGCACAGACGTTGCACGCCCGCACGTATAATTACTCACTGCTTCGCGCATACCGGCCCAAAAGAAACGACTCTTTATACTTCGATACGTTTCTTTCCACCCTTGGTGATTCGCTACTTCGTGGTCGTGAAACCTTTATAGCAGAATCTGGGCCTTGTCTACCGGAACAACCACCCCCTCTTCTCCATGCGCGATGGATCGAGGGTGACGGTGCAACACCTTGTCCCGGATGATGTACAACTTCCGCAGACGACCGAACCTTGCCCCGTCTCCAGAGAGTTTAGCAACTACCCAAAGGCGGTACTACGGGGGTGGCAGAGTAGGCAACTGCCCCTCCTGCGAACCGTACCTGTATTAATACATAATTCCTTAAATCTCGGTTTCCTAACTCTAAAAATATATAAATTTTTTTTTTCAATACGAAATTTGTTCCAAAATATCTGTGAATGATAACGCACACTTAAAAAATATTCTATTATTTAATCTATTCTGTGATTTTATTATCAACGAATCCTGATAAGGTGATGTGCGTCAAAACGTTACAACATTGCGATAGATAAGAAAAGATTCGAATTGTTAAATTTGTTCAATTTTTTTAGTTTTTTTTTTCTATAAATATCAATAAAGTTTTATCTGTTGCTCCAAAAAGTGTACAAATTTAATACAAGGTTCCTGATATATTGTTACAGTAGCAATTGAAAAATATTAAAAATACATTGGCACAATTTTTTTTTATAAGCATTTAAATATCGAATTTTGACAAAATCTCGAAAATTATCAATCATTGTAATTAATAAATTATAAAATGTTCAGTTTTTATGGTGGAGACTCATTTGCGCACATATTAATACATTTTTTAAATTTACGACAACTCATTTGCGCACAAAATAGTAAACAATGAAAACCAGCTTTTAGGTACAGTTTTGGGTGTACAGGGTGTCTTAAGCTGTCCAACACGTTACACGTTCAATATTATTGATATCAATCATCAATGATCACCCGTTATTGGAGTATCTTCAATATAGCCTTACCTATATAGTCTTAAAGCATAACGTGATTTCACATCAGTTCGTATCTATCAAAAATGGCATTAATACTCGCCAAGTACACTAGTCGTGTGGGACAAGCTTTAATCTTTATTATGATTAATTTATTATTAATGATTGTACCTAATTTATTGTAATTTGACAAAATTTTAATGACTTGTAAAAATGATTGTACCTAATTTATTGTAATTTGACAAAATTTTGAATAATGTGTAATAGCTAAAACAAAATTTTTAAACCCGCCAGTCTATAACATCAGAATATGATGAGACAGAAAGTCCTAAGCCTTTTAAAGGGTGAAGGAAAATGTTGTTTGAGTATAATAATTGTCCACTATCAGTATTGACCAAATCGAAAATATGGTGGTACGGAGATTATGTACACCCTATACGTGGATAAAATTCTTGGAAAAAAGGTTTCTATTGTTCGTAAATTGTGCGCAAATGAGTTATGTTTTTGTGCGCAAATGAGTTGTAAAAAAGGTAAATGTGCGCAAATGAGTTGTAGCCGTTTTTATAGCTAAAGATTGCAAATTTAAAACAAAGGTTCTCATAAATAGTTCATACTGTAACCAAAAAATCTAAAAAATATATGAACACAGTTATTTTTTACAGACATTTTAAATTCAAATTTGGACGAAATTACATATTAAAATCAATATTAACGATCTTTGTTTTTGTTGTAATTTAAAAATATTATTCGGGGATATATGAAACTGAAAAATCAAAATATTATGGCCTATCCATACAATCTACCATAGTATAAGGAATAATTATGCTCATGATAAGACTGTGCATATTTTAAGGAATTTATTCATAAATTCCATATAATTTAATATTTTAATACCATAGAAAAGTATATGTATAATATGTCTTATACCTAGACTGACATAGTCTCCGCTCAGAATCGTTTTTCTAATACAATGATATTATATCATTGCATTCAAATTTAATACCATCCATTATACAGTGACCCACTTGTAACCTACAGTACAGCAGAGCGACATCCACTTACCCACCTTTTTATTTACAAAATTATTCAATGAGTAAATTGGAAGGGGTTTTATTGGGTGAAGGGGAAGTCACCCATTAACGACCCCCCCTTCCCAACATATAGTTAGATAGTTTAAATATTTTCTGGCCACCCCTGCCAAGAGGGTCTAGTACCGCCTATGCAACTACCTCCCGTAGTTCGGGTCGTTTTGTTGCCACTCTCGGACAACTTGCAATGTAACGTTTCCGTCATCCCTCTTCGGCTGGATCGCTCCACACTGGGTGACACACACACCGGATCCTCTGTATTCGGTCCCACCGGACAACGGGATTGCGCATCGGCTGCTCTGTCCATAGAGACGCCGCGGTCGTTGCGGTGACACCTCCGACGACACGCGGTAGCGAGTGGTGTGAGTGTCTGTCCAGTTGTTCATCGGGATCCATTGCGCTTCAGACTACGTGCGCTCTTCTCCTATTTGCTACATCCAGTGCCGGCGCTAGGGGAGGACAAATGGGACATTTGTCCAGGGCCCCGCGCTTGTTAAAGGGCCCCGTGATTTTTAATTATCATCTTGATACGAATACCGTGGTCTACCGTCGTATATTGCATTATTCTGGCTGCAGCGGTCGCGTACTTAGATATTAAACAATTTATTATTTTATTCAAACATTTTGATGAATTAATTTATTTTTAATTGATGATTTTATGTAGTTGTTAAAATAAATGTAAATTAATAAAATAACCAGCCCTTATGAATTTATTAGCCTACGATTTTCCACTCAAAGGTTTAACTGAAACTCACGCTACGCCAATAATTCTGTGCTGAGCGAGGTTTCATCAGGAGGAATCGCACTCGAATGTGTTGTCTCCGTTTACTCAAGTAGGTAAGGTAAAGTGGGGTAAGTGTGACGCAAAAATGAAAAGTTAATTTTGAATTTGACAATACTTTTTTTGTTTTTAACTTAAAGTTGTTATTGTTCCATAATGTAACACCTCTAGATATACATAATTGGAATTTATAGTCAACAAAGTTATATTATCACTCACCTAAGAATAATTTTTTTTTTTTTTTTTTAATTTTAAAACGTCACACTTGCCCCTTTTCATGGGGCAAGTGCAAAATCGGATTGTTTTTGCTATTAGTATTACATAAAATTATATATGGGGCAAGTGAATAACAAAGATAAAAATAAGCTTTAATTTGATTTTTGTTTCATTAAAATATCTTGATTCATTAAGAGTTGACAGAGCATTATTTAAATTTAATTATTTACCTATATTATATATAAAAACAGTACTTTTTTTAAAATCCTGATTTAAAAAAAAGCTAAAATTTCACTACTCTCTGAGAACCTAAAGGCTATTACCTATGACCAGGGCCCCGCAATACCTAGCGCCGGCACTGGCTACAGCTCTATGGTGAGCCTGGTCTTCCCGTTCGTCTTCCTCCTTGGCGGCCATGATGGAGTCCATCATTGTTGTGAGTTCGTGGTGGTTCGTTTTGGCTTGTTCCATCAGTCTTTTCCTGGCGGCGGAGTCGTCGGGCAGGTCGGCTGGAGCGGGACCGCACAAGATGTCTTCCACGTCGCCGGCGTTTGGGGGTCTCCTCAGTATCTCGGTTAATCGGGCTCGGTCGTCCAGCCACCTTCGACAGGCAAACACTGTGTGCTCGGCCGTGTAACTTAACCTAACCTTTTTTTTTTTTTTTGCAGTTTTGAACCGACGGCGTCGCGGGAACTGCTTTCGCATTCTTCCGCGACGCCGCCATCGTTTATTTGAAACAAATTGAAACAAATATTATACATACATACGTGGGGGGGGTAGACGGGACAGTTCCCCGACTTACCCCCCCTCTATACATGACATTTAACAGTTAACATTAAATTACAATTTAACATGACAATTTTCAGAAGTTTTTGGGATGGTCGTCGTTTGACGTTTTGTCGGGCCGACCGGAGTCCGCCGCCCTTGGATACACGTGCGTGCCCGTCTTGGCGAGCCGACCGGAGTCCGCCGCTCTGGGGTCTCGTACGTCCTACGATGCCGTGATCGTCGTCCCGCCCGTGGAACTTAACCTAACCTAACCTAACCTAACCTAACTAGCCTAAGTTCCCTTGGGTCCGCCACCGCTCACGTCCGTGTTCCTAACACATATAATCTCTATACCTCTCACCCCGTGCCAAATTCTCCACCGTTGCCGTCGAAATGACTGCCATCGTTGCCCTATTCGGTACCTATGCTATAACCGCAGCGTCGTCCGTCGCTCCACATGACCGTAACTGCAGCCGGGCGCTCGCCGAGCCGACAGAGGGTCTCGCGCGTCAACTACGGCCGAGCGCGCTACGCCCGCGAATCCGTCGCGCAGGTGGTGGTCGGAGAACGTGCGCAGGTGACTTACCGCTGCGCACCTTCCGTGCTCTTTCCCGTACCTCCCCTCCTTTGCTTCGCCGTCATCCTGTATGTCGTCTTCGACCCAAGTGGGCTGTGCTAGTTGTGTTAGGTCCGGACGGTTTTACTCCCGTAGCAGAACCACACGTGAATAACGTTATTAATACACGTTTTACACTTTTCCACAGTACCTAGGTTACAAGTGGGTCACTGCAATGGATGGTGATGAATTTGAATTCAATGATATAATATCATTGTATAAGAAAATCGATTCTGAGAGAAAACGGTCTGTCAGCCTATTATATTACCAAGTATATTTGATGATATTATTGTGAAGTAATTTATATATTTACCTACTATAGCTGATCCCGTGCACTTAGTTACCCTTTAAATGTACCAACTCTATATGCATAGGCGTGCGCACGGGTAGGGCTGATTGGGCTTTAGCCCTACCTGAGCTTTTTTATACGTGGGTGGGTACCTAATGAAGACATGACTAAAAGTAGGTATATAGCCTTTTTAGATTTTAAACGTTTGTGTTTACCCGAGAGACTATAAACAGGGCGATTTATTTAAAATTAAACACTCATTATTTCAAAAAGTGTGAATGTTTTTGAAAATATTTTTTTTACATAGTTTTGAGTCGTTTACAAAACAACTTTGTTATTAAAAAATTATATTTTAAAATATTTTTTATCCTTCTAATTTTTTTGACAACATGGAGTTTGGATTTCATATGCCAAAGTATAATATTTTTCCAAGTATTTCGATACATAAAAATCTAATTTAGTGCTAGTAGTCTATGCGTTGTAAGTATTTAAAGTTTAGATGAGCCGAGTTGAGTGGTACGGGGTTACCCCACAAAATGTATGTCCACTACTCAGCTCATCTAAATTTTAATATTTATTATATCTCTAAAGTTTATTTGAAATGAATAATGTTAATTGACAATTTTTATTATTATATATTATATATTGAACGTTTTTGAATAAATTGTTTTATTAGATTATATTTGATTACAATTTAAATCAATATTGATGAATTTTGTATGTTTGAAATAATGAAAATTGATTGCTTACATTTCCCAGTAACCAACCAAAGGGTCACTTGAAAGTTTGTAGTCAAATGTGAAAATGTCTATAATTTTTTTCTTGTGTGACCATGACAAGGGGGTGGGTGATCAGATTTAATTTAGCCTTACCTGACCCAGAGGTCTGAACTCTGAGCACGCCTATGTCTATATGACTTAAACTTTGTTCAATTCGTTATTTAATATTCGGTGTATGGTGTTCAACATTTCTCTTAACTCTTCGGTTACCTTGGATAAAAATTCTGTTTCGCAGCAGTATATTATCAGGTAGGCAATAGGGCCCCGTGCTGTTTGTACGTACCTAACTTTATAATTTAAATCTAAAGTATCAAAGATATACCAAGAATGTCACTGAACTCCTCCTAAACGGTTGGACTTATTGTGAATTCCGAGTCTGTCGAGTGTCGACCAATATTTCCTCATCATCCACGAAGACGTGGCATTGCTTTATGTACGTAACTTATATGTGAGTATAATACGCTCAATATTTATTCGATTTCGATACATATAATATCAAAGCACTGCTTATAAAAAAATTAAATGCATTGAATGAATACACGACAACCAATAATTATTATTATAATAGCTTTACAACCCATAGCGACCATTTATAAACAAAAATGTCCACAGTAAATCTCTAAATACCTAACCGTTTGAGAACATCCTCTGGTTGCACATTTTAGATTTTCTCCTGACAGTTACAAACATATTAAAAAAAATTTGAAGCAAATCGGTCCGGCAGTTCTCGAGTTTTAGTGGGACTAACGAACAGCAATTTGTTTTTATATAAATTGAAGATTTACGTGGAGTCTTGTTTTAAATTTTCAATCCTTAGATTGAAAGTTGAACATTTTATAATTTTTTAACTACAAAATAATTATCCAATTTTAATTTTGATAAATGTTGTCAAGATTTGATCTTTAAAAGCTTATAAGAAAAATTGTGCCTATGTATTTTTAATATTTTACAACTGCTATTGTAAAATATATCAGGGGCCTTGTATTAAATATTTACACTTTTTGGACCAACAGATAAAACTTTATTGATATTCATAGAAAAAAAGGTGGGTAAGTGGATGTCGCTCTGCTGTACAGTAGGTTACAAGTGGGTCACTGTATAATGGATGCTATTAAATTTGAATTCAATGATTCAATATCATTGTATAAGAAAAACGATTCTGAGCGAAGACGGTATATCAGTCTAGGTTTAAGACAAATTATATACATATCTATGGTATTAAAAAAAAAATTGACCTAAAATAAATTCCAAATTAATCATATCACAATATCCATTAGGTACTTATAACACGTTATACACCAACAACAAACCCTGATACTATCATATATATATAATAGTACACTTTAGAAGTTTCAAGTAGGTACCCACGAATAATATTATATAATCACAACAAAATAACTAGGTTTTTTAATATGTAATTTCGTCCAAATTTGAACATAAAATGACTATAAAAGTAAACTGTGATTGTATATTTTTTAGATTTTTCGGTAAGAGAATTAACTACTTACGTGGAATCTTGTTTTAAATTTTCAATCCTTAGCTATAAAAACTGAACATTTTATAATTTATTAATTACGATGATTAATAATTTTCGAGATTTTGAAAAATTCTATCAAAATTCGATGTTAAAATGCTTATAAAAAAAAAATTGTGCCTATGTATTTTTAATATTTTTCAACTGATATTGTAACAATATATCAGGAGCCTTGTATTAAATTTTTACACTTTTTGGCCCAACAGATAAAACTTAATTGATATTTATAGAAAAAAAAAACTAAAAAAATTGAAAACTGAAAATGTCCGTAAACGGCTCAAAAAGTGTCAAAATATTTTCAAAATTGTAGGGTGTATAGGAAATGCTAATATAATCATTCAGTGAAATTTTCATGTATCTACAGTAATTCGTTTTTTAATTACAACAAAAAAAGGAAATTGCCACATGAGAAATCGAGTGAATATCCAATGTTGTAAAAATTTGAATTTCAAACGCTCATAAAAATTTAATTTGACTTTCCGGTAGAAATTTTTTTATTGATAAAGGTAGACAATCTTATGAGTAATCTTGTATTAGATTTTCAAATCTTAGATTTAAAAAGAAAAATTTTTACGAATTCTTAACTCAAAATAATTTGCTAATTTTCGTGATTTTTCCATATTTTGTCAATTTTTGAACTTTAAATGCTTATAAAAAAAAATTGTGACTAAGGATTTTTAATATTTTTCATCTGCCTTTGAAACAACATATTAGGAGCCTTCTATTAAATTTTCAAGCTTTCGCAACCAACAAATAAATTTTTATTGAAATTTTTAGAAAAAAAACTAAAAAAAAATGGAAAATGAAAATGTCCCTAAACAGTTCAAAATAAATCAAAATATTTTGAAAATGTTATCGTGTATAGAAAATGCAAATATAAACAACCAGTGAAAATTTCATGTATATACGTTCATTTGTTTTAGAGTTACACCAATAACCAAAATCGATTTTTTGGAAAATCAATTTTGCGTAAAAATTCCCGTTTTTCCTTAATTTTTATGTTGTTTTTCCCGGCGCTTGTGAAAACTACTGGGAAATTTAAATTTTGACCTCCCCAATGCACCAACGATATTCACTTTCCAATCGAACAAGATACTGAAGTCGAAAATCGAAGCATTATTTCGACTACTTATCGTGTACACAGATACAAAAAAAATAAATTATCGTTTCACTCAGAATCTAAAAATAAAAAAAATTGAAACTTATTAATTTGACTTTCTTATAGACTTTTTTTTTTGATAAAGGTAGAAAATCTTATAAGGAATCTTGTATTCAATTTTAAAATCTTAGATTTAAAAAGAAAATTTTTTACGAATTCTTAACTCAAAATAATTTCAAAAAAAAAACAGTGACTAAGGCTTTTTATTATTTTTCAAAATGCTTTTGAAAAAATATAGTAGGAGACTTCTATTAAATTTTCAAGCTTTTTTAACCAATATAGAAAATTTTATTGATATTTTTCGGAAAAAAATTTAAAAAAAATGGAAAATCAAAATGTTCCTAAACAGTTCAAAACAAATCATAATATTTCGAAAATGTTATCGTTTATGGACAATGCAAATATAAACAACCAGTAAAAATTTCATGTATATACATTCATTTGTTTTAAAGTTACACCAAAAACCAAATTCGATTTTGCGTAAAAATTCCTGTTTTTCCTTAATTTTTTTTTGTTTTTCTTGGCGCTTTTGAAAATTACTGGGAATTAAATTTTGACCTCCCAAATGCACCAACGATATTCACTTTTCAATCGAATAAGATATTGAAGTTGAAAATCGAAGCATTATTTTTACTACTTATCTTGTACACAGACACAAATAAAAAAAAAATAAAAATAAAAATAAAAAAAGATAAAAAATAAAAAAAAAACACATCATTGTAAAATCAATACATTCATCGTTCCACTCAGAATCTAAAAATTCAAACAGCATAATAATATATATATATTATATATATATAATATATAATACTGTTATTAAAATAATTAAAATTATAAAACTTTAATAATTCCCAAGTAAACAAATTTCTGACCACAACATTTTGGTGCCCCTAGAATACTGGCGCCCGGAGCAGTTGTACCCAGGGCCTCCCCCCAAATGTTGGTATCAAAATGTGATGTAAATAACTAATAAGGTACCTAAATCACAAGCGCATTGGGCGACTTTATAATACCTAGTTGGTTGATGTTTCTACACAGTGGCCTCTCGTAAGTAAGGCAGACCCACAGTTCTAAAATCCTATGTAAGCCACTGCAGTCTCCTAGTTTTGTCTAGACAATGAAACCCTTAATTATGTAGTGGATCTCAATGTATGGGTATTCTATACATACAATTTACATAATATATATTTTAATTTTATATGCAGCACTAGAGGACTATACAATTTATTTATTTGAAATATTAACAACAGAAGTGTTGTCATCAGTAGGTTCTTTTTCAAAAACAAATTATGTTTTTTTTTCTCTTATTTAATAATTTAATATGTCCATTGAGGCATTGTGCCTTGAAAATCAAAGTATAGATAGTATATTTTCTAAATAATAATAAAAATAATCCTAATGTCACAATTTGTATCAAATTGTTGAAGTGTCTAATCAGATTTTTTTTTATTTCCAGAACTAAATATGCATATTTCATGATTTAATGTTTAATATATTATAATATTATTCTTTATGCGGTTTTTGCCATATCCACAAAAACCTCTTTAACTCTAATATACAAACAAAAATATAGTGTTGGACAAGTTAGTGATAATAATTATTAATTGTGACTATTTAAGTTAATTCAATTAAATAACCTTCAGTTAAAACATAAGAAAGAAAAACTGTTTCCCACATAGGTAGTGATATTAATTATTAAAATGAAAAAATGCAATCAGTTTCTAAATACTAAATAGTGTTAAAAACATTTAATATTTAATTTGTAAAATTGTATGTGTAAGATAAAAATAAAATCAGTTTTTTAGAAAACATAAAAATTTAAAAAGTTCATTTTAAAACTCTCCATTGTATAGAATGGACTTATAGCAATTAATCCAAAGCATTTTTTTAAAATATGCAACTCCTACAACTTTCAAATCATATTGCGAAAACGTACAAAATAGAATATTAAGAAGACATTGTTAATAAGTTACAATATTTCATATTTGTGACATTGCTGTGTTAATCTGCTTGAACAACATTATCATAAATGTTCCATCAATAAATTATAGTCTATACAATTATTACAATTAACTATTAAGTAAAAATATTAATAAACCAAAAAAACAATTATGTTGTTTGGAAACTTTATTTATTTAGCATAGTTAAATTATTTTTGTTGAAACAAATGTTCATAACAAAAGAAAATAATACATATATACAAATTAAATTGTTTCAGAATTATTATAGTAAGATAAAATATTAACAATACACTAATGCACATACTATCTGATTAACAGTACTCACTACTCGAGATCAAAATATTCTAAAGATAATCGATCTTATAAATGGTATAATGTTTTAACTACAAAGTAGTCAGTGTAATTTAATAGTTATAAATAGTACTCTTCCTTGATAAATTAACTAAAAAAAAAAAACACTAACCACTTGAGGATACTAAAAGCCAACTATACAAAATAAATAAAACAGGTATTAACCATAAAGACAAAAGAAATTTATTTATTATCTATCTGATAATAGTAAGTAATAACATATTATTATACTATATTTATATATACTTTTAGCTTAATAATATTTTTAAAACTAAAAATCACATAACACTTCAGATGAGAATATTGTTAACCAGAAATCGGTTAGATATTCTGTTCAACTTTACGAACAGTCTTAAAACTTTATTTTATTCATAAAGCTAAAAATTATAATTGTAATAACTACATTTTAACACTAAATTTTAGAACAATAAAATTAAATTAAGTTTAACTATTGCAGTAAGCCCATAAAAATTAATTAAAATTGTACATAAATAAATAATTTGACACTTATTTGTTAATATTTAAATTGATATGATACGAAAAATCAGATTATTTGTTAAATAAAATATAAACATTGACACACTTTCATCACCATATTATATTATATTTAAACATTTTATTTTTAATATGCATTTTGTTTATGTTCAATAATTTGTATTTAAAATTTGAGCACTTGTTTTCATCAAAAAATGTTCAATAATTTGTCATATTGATGAAAATAAATGTATTTTCTGGTATTTAAAGTTTAAATTTGTATTATTTAAATATTTTTAATTTATAGAATACTGTTTTAGGATTTTATAATTCTATCAAAGTTAATAAATAAGTCTCATCACAAACCAAATATTATAAGTAATATTACAAATAAGTAATAACAGTTATTTAAAAACTGTTCAATTCAACATCTAAATGATAAATATTAAATTGTATACACATTGAGGATTGAAAAAAAAATGGATTTTACATATTAAAGCCGATAGTGTTTATAGTAATATTGTATGATTAAATTCAATTATTTTTCATTTTTACTCTCAACTATAATAGACATAATTAAACTTTAGTATTTTGCTGTTTAGTTTTTGATGAGTTTATTTTTTGTAAATTGAAGCCAGTTAAGGGAATTTTAATACCATAATTAAGTTTCAGACTTAAACTCAAATTTCCAATACTATTGCACCCTGATCTCAAAAGGTTTTAGACTGCTCCTGGTTTTATTTTACCTTAATAATAGGCAGTGTTTTATACATATTTATAATAATATTGAATTTAAATCAACAATGTATGTATTCTTTTTTTAAATCCTCTATATAATAATTATGTATTATTAAAAAAAGACAAACAATTATGATTGAGATAAATTACATGCTAGGTTTTTAAATAATTGAAAAAGAGGAACGTAATTGAGAAAAAAAAATGTTGCTTATAGCAGAGAGCTGAGATTACCCACTTTCCAAAGTTTCAGACGGGTTTACGATTTGGTAAGCAATTAAATATTCAGGATAAGCCTAAAAACACACACCATGGTTAAACATTGGTAAATATAAGTTATCATTAATTATGTTAATTTACCTGTTCGCCTCGATACACAACATACTCGGAGTAATTTAATCCACCAACACTAGGTGTTCCCATAACAGAATGATGTCCAGGTGGCGCGTGAGCTATTTTTATCGCATTGTATTGAACAAACGACTTTCCAAGAGTCACTCGACACATAAGTAAATGTCTAAAAAAAAAACAATATAATACAATATATTTTTTTAAGGAAAATACATACTAAGAAATAAGAATATAATATATTATACTGACCTTAGACATTGATAACATGAACGATCTTTGTGTGATGGACAACCTGTTCCTCCACCAATTCCATACACATACTGATTGCTTTTGGATGAGTTTTCAGCAAAATATATACCTAAAATATTTTATGTTTAAATAAACCTTTTCCAATAGGTATCTTATAATTTAAAATTTACCAGCTCCAAACATGCCACCAATATAGGCATGCCTCTCATCAAATCCTTTTTGTACAATTGCATTAATGAAGGGTGATCCATGGAAAAGCATTCTTTCATTGGCTTGATTACCATTTTCTAATGACACTTCTCGTTTACGATGTATATAACGATCCCAAAGTTTGCGATTTTGAATTTTTTGTATCTGAAATTATGTAATTTAAAATATATATCTATTGTTTTACCAATGTACTTACTCTGACTATATTGTATCTATTAAATATTCCACCAGACTGTCCATTATCACGATGCTCTCGTATAGTGCTTTGTAATTCTTGTTCAACAGTAATAAACTCTTTGTCCTCAGGTAATAGATCAATCAAAAGCGTGCATGGCATTCCGCCCGATAAACCAGAACAAACACCACCTATAAATGAAATCGGGCAAGTAGTTTAAGATATTAAGCAATTACTCATAAAAATAAATTTAACATTTATACGTCATTAGTTGGATAAAAATAAAATTATTTTAATATAAAAAAAAAAACTGTAACATTTATAATATAACAATATACAATACAATATTTACCATGTTTAGATACTAATTTTTCCATCCCTTTTATTAGCTTATGCCGATAACCATATGCTGTAATTCCAATTTGTTTTAAGTCTTCGTGTTCCATTTCTGCCAATATATCCAAAGTAATTTGTTCTCTCTCAAATATTTCATTCAAATGTTCCAAGCATAAACTACATAATAAAATGTATGTATGATGCACAAAAAGAAAAAGAAATAAAATAATGTAGGCTTCTTCAACGATATGGATTTCGATATCGCAAACTTTTTTTTTTTCGGAAATTTAGGTATCGATAATCGTAGTACATCGTACGATAGATTGATATTCGTAATATATTGATAATCGAAATATATCGATAATCGATGTATACCTAGCCGAACTGATTTTAATGCCAAAGCTCTTGAACAATATATTTTAAAACAATTAAATTTTAACTAATACCTACTAGTACCTAGTCAATTATGATGGTCATAGAGATATCGGAATATCGATACCTAAATTTTTTTTTTTCGATATCGCACAAAACAAAACGATATTGATATTCAAAAATATATTGTTGAAGAAGCGTAGTATAACGTATTATATATAATTTCATTTAAATGTTACCTAGAGAGGAATCCTTGTACAGTTGATAATGTTATACAATTTGGATGAGGGTGAGCACTCTCATATCCATTAACTGATCCATCTCCTTGTGAACCTAACATGAAGGATCTACCAGTTCCACCAGGACTAGGTAATGCAACTGAAGCTCCAGATGGCATGACCACTGTAGCTGTTTCTTCTGGTGACAACTGAGGTGGTGTAGGAACGTAAGTGGATGCATTGTTTTCTACTGAATTTGCACTGGGATGTGAAGCCATAGCATCTGTTAATAATGATCTTACATCTTCAGCTGTAGCTAATTCAAGAGGAGTTTGTCCTTCTTGGTTACGCAAAAAAGGGTCAGCGCCATGAGCCAACTTGAGTAATATTAATATCAATTATAAACATTACGTGTGATAAATTATAATATAATGTTATGTAAAACAAAGATTTGAATAAAACTTACAAGAAGTGCACTCAATTGTGTTCGTCCTTTTTGAGCGGCTTCGTGTAATGGGGTAAAACCCCAGTTATCAGTAGCATTTACAGTAGTGTTATGTTTGATTAAAAGAGCTGCAAGATCTAAATGACCATATGAAGAAGCATTATGTAAAGGAATTAAACCTCCTTTATCTTGGGCATTAACATCTGCCCCTTGTTCTAGGAGGAATTCAGCTACTTCCAAGTTATTATAACCAGCTTAACAATTATTGAATAATAAAACATAATTAGTTTGAGGCTAATATTTAAACAAATGCAATGGTATTATTTTACCAGCTAAATGCAATGGGGTAGAATTTCTTCCTTGCGTATCTCGACAATTAATGTTTTCTGAAGTAAGAAGTCTTTGAACTCGAGCTAGTATGCCTTTTTTAGCAGCATCTAATAGTGCTGCATTACCTCTTAACAAATCAGCAACTTCATTATCATTATCTCTTACTAGTCCTAACGGAGTGTGTCCATCACGATTTTTTTTTGTATCATCAGCACCATGCTTTATTTATTTTAAACAAATATTAAGTAAATAACTTTTCTTGAATAAAATACAAATAAAAAGTACCTGTAGCAACAATCGCACAATTTCGTATTTTCCTTTAGCTGCAGCTTCATGAAGTGGAGTAAATTTCCATAAGTCAGAAACATTTACATTGGCACCATGTTGAATTAACATATCGGTAACTTCAAAGTGGCCATAAGAACAGGCATTGTGCAAAGGTACAAGACCACTGTACATATAATAGTTAAATTATTATTTTCATGTACTAGTGTCTAGTACTTACAAATTATTAATATTCAAGTATACATACCCTTTATCTTTTGCATGAACATCAGCACCATGCGAAAGAAGATACTGACAAACTGCTACACGGTTGTATCCAGCAGCAAAGTGAAGTGGAGTGGAATGTCTGTTATACACAAAATTAAATAGTATAAATATGTTTAATTTACACTCTGTTTTATATTTAGTTTTTTTTTAATAGTAGTTACTAAATTTTTACCGTCCATCTAAATCTCTACAGTTCACAATATGAGGATAAGCAGTTAACACTCTCTGAACTTTTTCTAATTCACCAGCCTTAGAAGCTTCCAAAAGTTCAGATTCTAAATCTAAAACCACAGGGGGCTCTGTAATATGTAAAATATTATACAAATGAAATCAAAATATATTAAGTTTATATTATGACATATTGATGTAAATTACCTTGTAATATTTTTTTAATATTATCAGTAGCCATATCAATTGCTTTAAATCCTTGTATTGATGTTATGTTTGTATCAATATTGTACGACAAAAGAATTTTACAGCCTTGTAAACAATCATTTCTTGCACATCGATGTAAAGCTGAGTTATAATTTTTAAGTCAATAAATAATAGTAATTTTTATAAGTAAACTAATTACTAATTAAAATTTACCTGTTTGTCCAAGTCCATCAATAGCATTAACTCGTGCTCCAAGTCTGATAAATGTTTCCATAACATCAAAATGACCATAGTCTGCAGCTATATGTAAAGGGGTCAATAGATCTTTATTAGATTCATTAATTTGTGCCCCTTTACGAGATAAAAGTTCAATAACTTGCTTGCGTTTTGAACCCAATGATGCAGCTACAATATGCTAAAAATATAAATCCAAATATATAGTATATTGTAATCTGTATAGAACACATGTGTATCAGAACTTACGAAAGCAGTATCTCCAGTTAAGTGATGTTTAAATTTAGCAATATCTGAACTTAGAAGTTTTTTAACTTTTGAGACATCAGCTGCACGACATGATTCCAATAAACAATAACCTTTAAATTCATCTACATAAAAATAATAATACATATTTATAAACATAAATTTTGTTTAAAAAATGTCATTGTTTTTTCTTACAAGATAATTTTTCTTGCAGCTCTCGTGTGGACGCTAAGTCGATAGCTGACTTGGAATGACAATTTAGTAATGTTGGATCAGCACCCTTGCTTAATAATAAGGAACAAACTTCTACGCGAGACTTAGATGCAGCTTCATGCAAAGGAGTAAATTGCCATAAGTCCATAGCATTAACACAAGCCCCATGCTTTATAAGCATTTCTGTAACTTCTATGTGTCCATATGAACAAGCATTGTGTAATGGAACAAGACCGCTAAAATCAAAAAAATAGTATAAATAGTATAATACATTTTTATTTTGTCAGAACTAAAATAAATTAATATATATTTCAATTTAAATATAACAGTTAAATATTTTCATTATTTTTTTTACCCTTTATCTTTGGCATGGACATCAGAACCATGCCTAAGGAGTAATTGAACACATCGGATACGATTAAAACCAGCAGCTAAATGTAAAGGTGTAGATTTACGTCCATCACTTGCATGACAATTAACATTAAGAGGTGTTAAGAGTGATGATAATTTAGCATCATCACCAGATCGACTAGATTCAAGAATCTATAAACATTTTAGAATAAAATAATTAAATTACTATTATAATGTACCTAATTATTCTTATTTCATACTTCATCTTTTCGCCATTCTCCCACTAATACTTCGTTGATACCAGGAACTCCACTAACATTGGCTAAATCAATAGGTGATTTATTTTCTGAATTTCGAATTGTCGGATCTGCTCCATGTTGTAATAAAGCTATAAAATAAGTTTTCACTGTAACTAATAATTACTGGTAATTTGTACAATATTCCATTTGCATTTTACCTATACATATTTCAATTTTTCCTTTGACAGCTGCTTCATGAAGAGGTGTATAATTCCAATTGTCTCTAGTGTTAGGATCGGCTCCAGCTTCTAGTAATAAACCCACCACATCCTCATGTCCAAATGAGCAGGCATTATGTAATGGATGAAGTCCGCCATCATCGTGAGCTTGAATAGATGCTCCAGCAGCTAACAATAGTTCAACTATATCGCGACGCCCAAATCCTGAAATGATATAAATTATAATTTACCTTACTTAACTTTTTGACTTTATTTATTACATAATAACATTGTATTATATAATTACTTTCTATTTTTCATATTTTGTTTACTTGAATAAATAAATAATATTTACTCATTTGAGGTACCTAGGTAGGTAATCATAAATATATTTGAATATAAAATACAAAATATATACCTACTGAATTTCATTCTTATTATTTTTTTTTATTTCTGTTTTCATTTAATATATTTTAATGAATAGTAATACCTATGCCTACTGCCAAACCCACATAACTCCCTCTCTAAGAATCATTTCTATCAGCTGTTCAGTACTTCCATTGTTTTTATTTATCATAATAAAATATAGTACTTATAGTAGGTACCTACCTAACTATAATTGATTTTAAAACCCTAATTTTTTCTGATTCACAATCTCAATTTTTCATGAAACTTATGTCTTCGATTTAAAGTAGTGTAAAGGAATTATGAATCTCTTTTATATAACTTGTTGAACAAAGTTTCTGACAACTAAAATACATAAAAATAATTTAAGAATCAATTTAAGCAAAAAATAATGAAATAAAAATATAAATGCTCATAATACTTTATCAATTCAATAACATAATTTAAATAAATAGGTGGTTATAATTCATGAAACAGAATACAATTTGAAATTGAAATAATATAGAAAGATTGATGTTTATGTACCTACCCACTAAAATAAAAAACTTTATACTGATGGGTATCTCAGTATCTACCACATCATATAATAATTTATTTACCTGCTGCAAAGTGTAGAGGAGTACTTTTCCTGCCGGTCGTATCTCTAGCGTTGACAGTCTCGGCATTTATTTGACGTCTGACTTTGTTCAAGTCACCCGATTTGCAAGCTTCAAACAATTCTCGAAGTGGATCCTCTTGAAGCAGAGAATATATGTTGGGCTGTTCGGATTCGTGTCGTTTGGTACGCATCATGATGTTGGGCGCTTCTATTCGAATGGTCTAATGCAAAATTCCTATTGTCGGACACGAAAAGACTCAACTACATGGTAAATGACAGTGACATTATTGATTACACGACCACTGTACACAAGTCAAACGTCTATTTCGAGTTCGGCGACAGATGTTGAGGACCGAGACGTATCGTCTCCACGGTTGACGTATTGGCGTGCAGCACGTCGGTGCGCGATTCGTAAGCTCAAGACCATATTTGTTCGGACAACGAACGCAACGGATATATATGGATGACAACTTGCAGACAATTAATAATCGTTCGCTCGTCCGACAGGGTAGAGAAATAAAATTATCGGAATCCCGATGGTCCGAACTCCGAGGATCCGCAGCGAGCGCCGAGCAGACGAGCAGTGCACTCGTACGGGAACGACGACCGTATCGTATTATTCGTATTATCGGCGGTGACGTGAGGGAACGATTTTCCTCCTTTCTTTTTCTTTATTTCATAGGTATTAGGTACACACACATACTCGCACACCATTCAACAATTACTTACCGCCGCCGCGGCTGCAGCAGCTCTGTACTCTGTGTCTCTGTGGTAGTGGTAGTGTACTAGTGTAATCTGTTCTTTCTCTTCTCTCCACCGCACGCCCAATACTCAATAGTAACTATCGTGGCTGATGGTGCGGAGAGGAACGGGTCACGGTGGCCACCAGTGTCATACTGTTATTCCCCGCCCCGCGGACTACAACCGACTACTAACAAGACGAGCACAGGCGCACGGCAAGCGTAGGACGTAGCAACAGTAAAGGTAAACAGTGGTGAACTGGTGACTGGTAGCCCGTGGCCGTGCGCATGACAGATTATTATACACGAACTCTATGGTTGGTCGACGACCGTCATGCGCACGATGGACTAGTCATTCTGGATTTCTGCGGTGCGAACAGCCGTGACTCGCAAGTAGACAGTGCGAGTGCTGCTGCAGCCATAAATATAATAATATAGTCGTATCACCCACTGGCAGCACTGACCAACAACATATGTTCCTTCCTGCCGCCGCCCACAAGCGTCTAGTGACAGGGAATCCGAATGGCTGCAAGATGGCCGACTTCGTTATCATTATCAGTTATCACAGATTTTATTATCACTTAATTCTCAAAATAATATATTTCTTTCCTTTAGCTTATTTCTACCCAGTACCCAAGTCTTTTTCTTTTAAGTTTATTATATTATAGTGACAGTAAAGTATCTAATTACTTTATTTTATTTTAAATATTGAACAGGTAAAATGAACTCAGTATATCAAATACTTCTGAAAATAATCGTGTTAGGTTATGAATTTTTACTAATTGTTAAAAAACTTGTCTGTTTAATTAAATGTATAATACTTTGAAAGTTTACACCACTACTTGAGTTTAAATGTTTTCTTGATGTACTAACCTGGAATATTGTTTTAATCTTATTTTTTTTTTCTTTTTTTTTATGGTTTTCATTAATTATGTTATGGAGGCCTATGAATGTCACTCTCAGGATATATGGATTTTTCTATGTTTGCGGATGAATGAGGATTAATGGTGTGCAATTCGGATCACGCCCATGTTTTTCAGGAGTTCCTCAGGCCGGTTTCTTTTCCTTGTCACCACTCCTATTTTATTTTATTTGTATTATAAATGTATTGTAATTATTTTACTATTACTATTTTGTTTTCAATGTAAATTTTTATGTCTGTTTAAGTGTTTTCATAATTGAATTGGGGCAACCTGTATATATATATAATAATAATTAATATAAATATCTAATTATTATTCTCATTTGTATATTAAAAATTTCTTGGTTGTGTTATTTGAATATGTATTGTAGAAATGTTTATGGTATTATAAGTATTTAATTAAATAAAAAATCACAAAAAAAGATGTCTATTTATTAACAAATTCAAAAATTATAATTATTTGTGTAAATACAATAAATATGCATCAGTATTTTATTTTGTTCAATTAGGTTTTTTAAGAACATGTCAGACATAAACGAATTCGAATGCATAGAGTGTGCAAAAAAGTTTAAATTTTTAAAAAACCTAAGAGCCCATATAAAAGTAAATCACCCTCTTTTAGAGTTGGATGAAATAGCACCAACAAAAAAACAGAAAAATAGTGATTTATATATATATACTTGTGACCAATGTACTAAGTCATATTGTCATCAAAAAAATTTGACTGAACACAAAAAAGTTGCTCATCCAATTTCTCCAGCAATTGAAATCGTAGTCCAGTGTGCCATGTGTTCATTTACTGCCACATACAAAATTATGAATATACACTATGAAAAAGATCATAATATTTTACAAAATGTAGATAGTTTTGAATTTGAAACCATTGATGATTTTAACAATTGGAAACGTGAAATTGAACTATCAACTCAGTCATTGTATGTTAAAAACTACGGTTCCTCTGTAAAAGGAAATCAAATTTACAGTTATTACAAATGCCACAGAAGTGGCTTCTATAATTCACTTAGTACAGGTCAACGTCATTTAAAAACACAGGGTTCTAACAAAATAAATGGGTACTGTCCAGCTAGTATTAATGTTATAGAGTCAAATGTTACCAAAAAATGTACCGCTAAATTTAATGGCAATCATATAGGTCATGAAAATGAAATAGGACACTTGCCTTTAAATAAATGTACCAGAGATGATATAGCATCTAAAATATCACAAAACATTCCGTTTGAAAAAATTTTGGACGAAATTCGTGATAATATTGCCAACAATCATTTAGAAAGAACTCATTTACTTACTAAGAAAGATTTGTATAATATTGAAGCTTCATACAATCTTAACAATGAGGCAGTATATCATTCTAATGATGCTACAAGTGTTGGAGCATGGGTGGAAAAACTAAAATCTGATGACAAATTAAGCCTCGTTTACTACAAGTCACAAGGTCAAATCGACACTAATTATATCCAACTTAAAGAAGATGACTTTTTATTGCTCATAATGAACGACCATCAAAAATCCATGTTAAGCAAATTTGGAAAAGATGTTATTTGTATTGATGAAACGCATGGGATGAATTCGTATCATTTTAATTTGACAACAATCATGGTTCTTGATGATTTAAGAGAAGGATTCCCATGCTGTTTTATGATAAGTAATAGAGTTGATGAAGTGGTATTAAGAATATTTTTTTCTAAGATAAGGGACAAAACTGGTATTATTCAGCCCAATGTCTTCATGTCAGATATGGCTGAAAGTTTTTATAACGCTTGGGTTGTTGAAATGGAACCACCGAAACATAGGCTCTATTGTACTTGGCATGTAGATCGTGCCTGGAGAAAAAATTTAAATAAAATTAAAAACAAGACAAAACAGGTAGAAATATATAAAGTATTACGAACATTACTTGTAGAACAAGATGCTGAGGCCTTTAGTAGAATGTTCGACAATGCTATAAATCGAATGGCAAAAGATGACGAAACTATTGATTTCTCAAACTATTTTACTAGTTATTATGCTTCATCTGTGCTGTCATGGGCTTATTGCCACAGAATACATGCTGGAATTAACACAAATATGCATATTGAAAGAATGCATCGGACTCTAAAGCACATTTACTTACAAGGCAAAAAAGTGAAGCGTCTTGATAAATCTCTGCATGCCTTAATGAAATATACTAGAGACAAATCTATTGATAGGCTTATTGTGTTACATAAAGGTAAAATATGCTCAAAAGTAAAGGAGTTGCGCAAAAGGCATAAGACAAGTCTTTTAATGTCTCTAGAAATGGTGCTTGAAAATGTTGATCACAATAATTGGAATGTGTTATCAGGAAAAACTAGTGAAATGTATGAGGTGAACAATCTCAAATCCAACTGTGACTGCCAAATAAATTGTTCTGATTGTCAGTCATGCATACATTGCTACTCATGTTCCTGCATAGATAGTGCAATAAAATGGAACATGTGTAAACACATACATTTAGTCTGTCAATACCTGAAAAGAAAGAATAATGAAAATATAATTACTAATAACACACTCACAAATTTGGAACATACCAATGAAACAACTATCATTGTGTCACAGTTAAATAATTCAACCAAACCATCAAACGATCTAGCTAATGAAAAAGATAAAGTAAGATTATATTTTAATAATATTTTAGATGGGATTTCTAGTTCAGAAGAACTGGGCATTTTAAAAAAATGTCTTACTTCGGTTACACCTACTTTAAATGCGTTAAGAAGTAATGCTGATAGTCAACCATTTAAAAGTTTGACACCGTCTCATTGCCAAACATCACCAAACAAATTAAAAATAACTCCTCAACGCCGTTTTCATTCCACTAAATCTAAAAGAAATGTAAAAAAAACCACATTAAACATTGAGGTACCAAACCAAGTAGAGCAAAATTTTATAGCTGCATCTCTATTATTGGATGTGGACCAAAATGAAGACCTACCCCAATATAATTAAACACCGACTGATTTTATAACAAAATTATTATTTTTATTTTATTATTACTTATTTCACAATTATTATTTTATGCATTTTATTAACTTATTAATTATAATCATATTGACTATTGTACTGGCATTTCACAACATTATTTTTTTATAATTATATCTTATTTTACAACAAATTATTATTAACTAGGTAACTATTATGAATTTAACTAATATATTATTGTTACTATAAATTTTAATCATATTGACTATTGTACTCGCGTCTCACAACATTATTTTTTATAATTATATCTTATTTTACAACAAATTATTATTAACTAGGTAACTATTATGAATTTAACTAATATATTATTGTTACTATAAATGTTAATCATATTGAATATTGTACTCACAAAATTATACTTTTTTATTATACAATATTATGTGGACATGTGGTCAGACAAGGAGCAGAGATACCGTATAAAGTAGGACCAACATACAACAATTATAACTTATTTGAAAACTAATTATTACTTATTATTTACTAATTATAGCTATTATGAATTATATGAATTTACATATTACCTACCATTTATATATCCATTTCAATATTTGATATTTCATTGTGCATTATAAAATTTACTATAGAATATCAATGTGTGTATAGTACTGTTCTATATTTCTATTTTCTTAACCTAAGATTTATTATCAAATAATCAATGTTAATTAATAATTAACTGGAATATCATCATTTTCAAAGACAATTCAGTTAGAATCACAGATATATACAATATTGTACGTTTATACGTTATTGTATATATCTGTGGTTAGAATACAACTTGGGTAGAAATAAGGTTAAGGAAAGAAATATATTATTTTAAGAATTAAGTGATAATAAAATCTGTGATAACTGATAATGATAACGAAGTCGGCCATCTTGCAGCCATTCGGATTCCCTGTCACTAGACGCTTGTCCGCCGCCCGAGTACGAACGGTTCTCCGGTTACGGTACGACGTGTGATAGCGGACGGATTTTTGCCGATCAATTTTCACCCGTTGAACAGCCGTCTGCCAGCCGTCGTCGACCTTTTCCTCTGGCGTTCTTATCACTTGTACTTGGTGGTGCCCGCAGCCGATTATTTTTCTAGAAATACCATCAGTTTTCTGGTTGCCGTCGCATTCCTCCAACCAGTCCAGCTCCCTTCATCAATAATTTGACGCTCACGATGGCTGCTTCAACCAGGGTTTTCTCCAGAATCGCAGGTAAGATAGAGCCTAACGCAACCCCTCCAATTTTGGACGGTCATCGTAATGACCGTATCGTGTCTTGATTACTGTGACATACAGTTGCATTATGTATCACAAGGATTTCCAGATAGTTTGACTTCCTGGTTCGTGTATTTGACCTATGGTACCTATTGTTAGTTGTTACCTTACGGTCCAATCATATTAACCGAGTTTCATCATGATTACATCTTCCTAATCTAGTCATTCCCTATGAGAATTATAGAGAGATACCTGCTGAATTTATATGTTCATACCATAGAATATTATATGTCTATGGTTCATACCTTCCACAAGACATTCCACATACTCCAAATGTTAAACCATCAACAAATTGATAAATTAGATAAATTACCCACCCGTGACAAAATTAATAAACTTACTTAAATGGTTGATTGTAAAGTACAAATATTTTATTTTGTGTTATATTAAACTGCACCTAAGTTCATTTTATTAAAAGATAATATTCTTATATGTTTTATTATATATAATCTATTATTGTTATACTATCCACTTGTAATAATAACGTGCAACTTTGTATTAGTAAAAGCACTTTTTTAAATAACCATATAGGTAATAATAAATAATTGCATGAAGTTAACCATCCAACATTCAAAGCAAACTAATTATAATATAGTTTAATGCTTTATATTTCATGATTTTGATTAATAATAATATTTTTAAATTCATGTTCTAGTATGCAATTTAATGGGCATACGATCATCATCAAATACAGTTGATCCACGCATTTATGCGGAAACTAGAAAAAATTTACTACTTACTAAAGATACTAAAGTAATTTGTCAAGGAATGACTGGTAAACAAGGAACATTCCATTCTACTCAGGCTATAGAGTATGGAACTTCTATGGTAGGCGGTGTATCTCCTGGCAAAGGTGGAAAAACTCATTTAAATTTACCAATTTTCAACTCAGTCAAAGAAGTAAGCGATAACAATAATAATAAAAATAATTGTTCCAGTACCAAAAATTACTTTATTTTTAATTGGTTATATAGGCAAGAGATGAAACTGGAGCGGATGCTACAGTTATTTATGTACCACCACCAGGCGCCGCAAAAGCAATCATAGAAGCTATTGATGCTGAGGTTCCTTTAATTGTCTGTATTACAGAAGGAATTCCCCAGCAAGACATGGTGCGAGTGAAACATAAATTAATTAGACAGAACAAATCTAGATTGCTTGGGCCTAATTGTCCTGGAATCATTGCTCCAGAACAAGTATGTAAAATATTTAATCAACTTTATATTGTATTGTATTAATCTATATTAGTAAATGAATTGTTTAACTTTATACATTTTCTAGTGTAAAATTGGTATTATGCCTGGTCATATTCATTTGAAAGGATCTGTTGGTGTTGTGTCAAGGTCAGGTACACTTACTTATGAAGCAGTTCATCAAACATCTCAAGTTGGTCTTGGACAAACACTGTGTGTTGGTATTGGTGGTGATCCATTCAATGGTACCGATTTTATAGATTGCTTGGAAGTATTTTTACAAGACCCAAATACACATGGTATTATTCTCATTGGTGAGATTGGTGGTCAACAAGAAGAAATGGCTGCTGAATATTTGATAGAACATAATACTGTGAGTAATTATTTTAATGTTAACATTAATTATTAAAAATATACCTATGTATATTATTTATTTAGGGTCAAAATGCCAAACCAGTTGTATCATTCATTGCTGGATTAACAGCACCACCCGGTCGTAGAATGGGCCATGCTGGAGCAATCATATCTGGTGGAAAAGGTGGAGCTCAAGATAAAATTAATGCATTAGAAAAGGTGATTTAGTATTAAATAGTTATTTCAATGAAATTGTCATCAATTTAACATTTATATACTTTTTAGGCTGGTGTGGTCGTTACTAGGAGCCCAGCTGCAATGGGCATTGAATTATCTAAATTAATGAAGAAATGAATTCATAAATTATTTGTTGGCTGTTAGTTTGGTATTATATTTGTAAACTATGGTGATATAGACTTAACGTGTTTTACCATTGCATTGATTAGGTTAAATTGGCTTTAATTAGGAATAATGAATACATCATTTTCCCTATTAATTTAAAAATTCTATTATACCATACAAAGCAGTACAATGGTCCTTTTCAATCCTTAAATATATTTCAGTAAAAACGCTTTTGCTGAATAGTCTTGAAAATAAATAAAAAATTGGCACAAAAAAGATTAGCTGCACTTTTCGTTAGATAATTTTATATTAATTAAATTTGTTGAATTGTACAGTTGGAATAAAATTACATCATAGTATTAAAACCTAACGTTTTGTAAGTTATATTGTACTGTTAACCATTTTTAAATTGTTAAAATATAATTGTATATTGTTTTCTTTGATCAACTATATCTTATGCAATAGAAAAAACTAGTATAAATCTTCTTCAAACCTGATCATTAAATATAAAATGTGTCTACATTTTGCATAACTATAAGAAAAAAATTAATACAATTTGGTTTGTTTTGTCTATAACAGACAGTTAAATATAGTTAATCACCTTTTTATAGTTAAAAAATTATGTGGGAATAACTTTAATCCTTCCTGTTATATTTTTGCCATTGTAATAGTAAATACCAAGATGAACAAATGTATTTCCTTCTCCTAATATTAAAATTTACCATACTTGTTTAACATTATAATTTTTATTTTAATAATAAAATAATAATATTTTATCAAGTTAAAAATATTTTCCCATTCTTAATACAAACTGTACTATAACTATGTTCATAAGCTTATAACATTAAAATACATTCTTGATATTTAAATTATTCTATTTTAATTGTGTATGGGTCAAAGAATCAGTGTGGAAGTGTTATCTTCGTTTAATATGTTATTGTAAATATACAATACTTAAAGTGCTGTCAATAATAAGAATAATAGCATAGTTAATTGTAAATAGGAAATTAATAACTATAAAGTTCATTATCTAGGTTAATACTCTAGACCTTGGATTGAACGAAGTTCAAAATATGTGTTTGTAACAAAGGCAGAACTTAACTTATAGCAGTGGTTCTCAGCCGGTGTCGCCAAAAAATTTATTTATTTGTATTGTACGTGTTAAAAGTATAATAATGTGACGTGCATGGTAAAAACCATAGGTAAGAAAAACATTTGTGAAGTTAGTCTCATTTTCAATTTACATATATATTTATTATTGTTAGTTTTTCCAAAATCTATTAATTGTTTTAAGTGCGTTTTGTTTTTAGTTTCATATCCCAGCACCGCGAAAAATCTAAATACATAGGTACGACTAGACCAATATTTTTGAAGGTACACAATTTGTAAAGAATTCCCAGACCTTTAACACTGTAATACTGTATAGTGTATATGTTATTAACAATAGTTTCAAATGTAGGTATATTTATATTTTATGACTTACTATATTTTGATATGAATGAAACAGCAATAGATTAAGAAAATAAAATTGTCAATTGTCACAACTTTATATATATTTATTAACATGGTTTTTCGGTCCTGTAATTTATATCTACATACATATTTAAATTAATGCTAGTACAGAATTCAGGATGATGTGGCCCATCTCCAGTGTTGGGGAAGTTACTTATTTTTGGTAATTAAATTACATTACTAATTACTTATCAAAATTGTAACTAAATTATTTTTAAGTTACTTTTTTTTAATATGGTTAAGTTACATTACTTTTGAGTTTAAAAAGTAACTGAATTACAATAGAAGTTACTTTTTTTCAAAAATATCACTGGAGCTTAATAATCATGTTGTCAATATAACAATACATAAACTCAATAGGTAATACCAATCAAAAATGTGAAATTATTAGCAGATACTCATTTTGCTACACTATTATTATTATTATTATTTTTATTGAACTTAAGCTCGGAAACTATGGCCATAAGCTGTTGTAGGGGATTATAAACCAGTGGCGGCGCGAACTTTTTCGATAGTGAGGCAAGAAAATGTTAGTTGCAGCACACACGACCCACCTATTTAATTTGCACAGAGACGTGGGGGGCTACGCCCCCACACCCCCTATTATAATTCTATATTAAATTAACCTTTCTAAAAATTCATGTAACGGGTACTACAATAAAAAAAAACTTTTATTAATTATATAAATACTGCTTTATTAATAAAGATAAATGTTTATGTCTATACTCTATATGACTATTGTCTATTTATATATTTATTTATTTAATACGTTATGACGTTGTGTCACTCAATATTTTTCAGAACTGACTATCCACTATAGGTACCTACCCAGTACCCACCCACCCACCCCTTTTAGCTGTGAGAAAATTGTCTCACAAAAACCATCTCGCGCCGCCACTGTTATAAACTGTGGTTGGTAAATTTGGTATGGTAAGGTGTTGTTACGGTATGTATGTAAACACGTGTAAGTGTGGCAAGGTTTTTACTACTACGAATCCGGGTGGTCACCCATCCGGGAACTAGTAGCAGCGGGCGCAACTTACTCTCAGTCGTATTGCGCGACTGGTAGCTAGCAGCCAAGCCACACATTTATTTATTAATTATTTTTTTTTATATTAACTAACCCGCAGCAATTGGGTGGTTTTTAACTGAGATGGAGGTTAGGTAGGTTTCTGTAAACCCGTGTGTTTTAGCTTGAAAGAATTTCAAATTGGGCACCTGTAGTCTGCCCGTTACCGAGATTCCAACCAGCTACGGTGCGCGTTGCCACCAACGCCTTAGTCCGCTCGGCCACTCCGTCTCCCTCACTTTTATTATTATTACTACTGTATTTATTGATAGTTCCAACAATGCTGTATTCGCAGACGCTGACGCCGTGAGCCGTCCGCGACGATACAACACAGAGTACAGAGTAAAGATAAGAATTCCATTCTAAAAGTAACACTTTATAGTCGAACTGTCAATAGCTATAACAAAAATAGTACCTACAGTTCATACAATTTTACCTAAAAATTAAAATACTAATAAGTTATATTATGATATATTTTAATATTTACCTACACACAATATTATCAATAGGTACGTTCTAAAAAATGTATTAATCCAAAAAAAAGTAACGAGTAATTTAGTAAAAATTACTACAAAAAAGTAACTTAAATTACATATAAATTACTTACAATAAAATGTAATTAAATTACCATCAAATTACTTAAAAAGTAATTTCGTTACAGTAACTTGTAACTTAAGTTAAGTTACTCCCCAACACTGCCCATCTCTCTACTAAATCAACCATAATCAATAATGCCATTATAATTATGTTTATTCAGTTGAACAGCTTGAACAATTAGAAACTGTAAGACATGGACTGTCAATTTCTTGTTAAGTATTTTTTAGTTTTTAGGAAAACTATTAGTACCAGTTCTTGTCATTTGTTTTATATTATTAATTAATAATTATTATATTATGTTGAAAACGTTGTGACAATACAGCAGTGTTGGGGAAGTTACTTATTTTTGGTAATTAAATTACATTACTAATTACTTATCAAAATTGTAACTAAATTATTTTTAAGTTACTTTTTTTTTAATTTGGTTAAGTTACATTACTTTTGAGTTTAAAAAGTAACTGAATTACAATAGAAGTTACTTTTTTTCAAAAATATCACTGGAGCTTAATAATCATGTTGTCAATATAAGAATACATAAACTAAATAGATAATGACAATAAAAAATATGAAATTATTAATGGATGATACTTTTCTTGCAACACTATTATTATTATTTTTTTATTGAATTTAAGCCCGGCATCTATGGTCATTAGCTGTTGTAGGGGATTATGAACTGTGTTTGGTAAGGTTGGTATGGTAAGGTGTTGTTACGGTTGTTACGGTATCTATGCAAACACGTGTTAGTTTTTTTACTACTACGAATCCGGGAGGGTCACCCATCCAGGAACTAGTAGCAGCGGGCGTAAGTTACTATCAGTCTTATCGCCAAGTCACAAATTTATTTATTAATTAATTTATTTTTTTTTAACTAACCCTCAGCAACGTAGAAAATAGGGTGGTTTTTAACCGTGGGGGAGGATACGGTAGGTTTTTGTAAACACGTGTGTTTAAGCTTGGCAGAATTTCAAATTGGGCACCCGTAGGTGCCATGCCCGGTCGAGGGATGGCGGCCTCTCTCTCCAGACAAGTGTCTGCCGGAGAGAAGTTCAGCCCGTGACCGAGATTCGAACCGGCGAATTTATTGATAGTTCCAACAATGCTGTATGAGCCTTCCGCGACGATACAACACAGAGTAAAGATAAGAATTCCATTCTAAAAGTAACACTTTATAGTCGAATAGCCAATAGCTATAACAAAAATATTACAGTTAGGCAATTTTACCTATAAATTAAAATACTTATAAGTTATATTATGATATATTTTAATATTTACCTACACACAATATTATCAATATGTTCTAAAAAATTTAATAATCAAAAATAAAAGTAGCGAGTAATTTAATAAAAATTACTGCAAAAAAGTAACTTAAATTACATATAAGTTACTTACAATAAAATGTAATTAAATTACCATCAAATTACTTAAAAAGTAATTTCGTTACAGTAATTTGTAACTTAAGTTAAGTTACTCCCCAACACTGCAATACAGTTCACTACTTATACATTGTGGTATATTGTGACGTGAAACTTTAGAACTACAGTAAACTTTCACGTTTTCTCCATACTCGGAGTGCAAAAAAAAAATGGGACAACTTACGACGAACAGAGTATAGGTAGTAGGTACAATAGGTACATATATTCTTTGATTTGTTCTATAGAACATTAGATAAGCTAAAATTATACCTCTATTATATTCCTCAATAAACAGTTGAGGACTTAGGTATGGTACATTTTTGTATTTATTAATAATTTTATTTTTATTTGAAAAAAAATAACCAAACTATATTTGGGGGTGCACATTTTAAATTTTTGTGGTGCACAAGTCCCCTCTACAT